CGTTATGTAATTCTTATTCTAAAGCTCTTACAATAATGGAATATTCGAATTCAACTGAAATTGTTGATTCATTATTAATTATGGAAGCTGCTACAAATAATTCTGCAGATTCAAAAACCAAGAAGAAAGAAAATATCATTATTCGATTCTTTAAAGCAATTATAAATTTCTTTGTATCAATTGCAAAGAATATTAAAACTGCAATTAACTCATATCATGCTAAATATAAAGAATCAAAGAATGCACATCCGGCCAAGGAACTTAATCCAGTTCCAGAAAAGATTAATGAGAATAAAGAGAAAGTTATTCCTCATGATTCTGAAAAGGAAATGGCAAAGAAGATTGATGATGACGTTGATAATTCATCAAAACCTTCAAAGGAAGTAACTGTTGAACTACCTTCAATTGTTGATCTCCACAGACAATATTCAAAATTTAAAGTAGCTTTTGAATATGCTTCAAAAATATGGAATGAAAGAGATACTAATAAATTGAGTGACTCAGTGCTTGATTCTTTAAAGAAGAAAATTTTTGAAGCAACGAATATTCAAATTAATTATGAAAATTATTCATATTTCACAGAACTCAATCCAACTCATGTGGTTGATTGTTTATTAGCTCCTATTGAAGGAGGAATCTATAAAGGAAAATCAAGAATTGATCTTATGGAAGAATGTGCAGACACAGATTTCATTCATAATGGTTTATTCAATATGAAATTTAAAGCATATTCAGCATCTGCAGATAATATTCTCGATGAATTAGATGATACTCCAAAACATCATAAAAAAGATGTAGACGCTGATCTTAAAGAAGCTACAATGACGGATGAAGAAAGAGAGAATAGAAAAAATCGTAATATTGATAAGACGATTGATTCTAAACAGTTCGATCGTTTCCAAAATATGTTACAAAGTATGAACAACTTCCTATCAAACTATAATAAAAATATTTTGGATATTAAAAATAAACTTAAAAAAATTACTGACGATTTATCAGATTCTGATTATTTTAATTCATCAGCTGAAACTGTTGAAAAGAAAGCCGGATACGGTAATTCCGGATATTATGGTAATTTTAGAACCTGGAGAATATAAAAAGTTTTATTAATTGAAAGGATAATTCATTATGGCTGATAATAAAGAAAAAAGAGCTAAGATTGAAAAGTTCCTTTATGGGTTATTATCAACTATAGATCCATCTGGTGTAAACCTCAATAAATATAAATCAATGTTTGCAAAAATGAATGATGATCAATTTGCTAACTGGATGAATGCATTCTTAGCAGATGATAAATCAAACATTCGTATTGACATTGAAGAATTCGGAAATGATAATCGTAAACTTAAATTCGAGAATGTGGAAAAAGCTGCAGAATATGTCGGTGTTCCATTATTTGAATATGTTTATATACCACATGTATCATCGGACCCTAAACATCCAATTCGTACTCGTGAAAAAGTATTAGTTGGTAATCTGAATATTAAGAGACCTCAGCAGCTTGTTACAAAGAAAACAGGTTATACTCTTTCAGATACTGATAGAGATGAGATGTCTGGTTCAGCTAAAGGTGAATCAAGAGGTGGTACAACAACTGGTGTAGAAAATGAACTTCTTGCAGGTGTTGGTGCTGATAAAATCATTTCAGAATTTCTTGGAGTTAGAGGTGACAATGTTGTTGAATATGATAATATGCTTCAAGCTATATCGGAAACAGGTTCAGTTAAACTTGAAGACATTAAGACTTCTAAGTATGATAAACCAACATTGTTAAAAGCGGATATACTGTTAAAGTGTATGGGATTAAAAACAGATATTGTTACAGAGTCTTATTATTCTACAGCAGCTATCCGTAGAGCATTAGGTGGTGAATAACTATGCTTGATACCCAAGGAATTAAACTTAGTGAAGTATCAAATAAATATCCACGAACATTTCAATCGTTAGGATATGATGCAGTTTTAGATGTTGATGAATGTAATAAACCAAAAGTAATATCAACATTTGAAATGTGTGTTAATTCCATATTAACATTATTATTTATGAAACCTGGTCAGTATCCTTCAATACCTGATTTAGGTATTGATATTGAACGTTATCTTCATGAATATTCAGATGATGAATCAATTCCATCTGAAATAATTAAAATGTTAAATGACCAATGTAATAGATTACAGATAACTGGATTAACATATGATTGTTATACAGATAAAACATCTGATGGATTTAATGCATTGGTAATTGACATAAAAGGAACCGATCGTCTGTCATATGGTTCTGATTCATCACATGTAATCATTGGTATTACATATGATAAACTTAATCGTTTATACGTAAAGAAATCATTTATTTAAGAAAGTAGGTATAAAATTTATGAAAGTAAATATTGCAGGTAAAGGTACAATTTCATTACTTGGTATTACAGCACCTATCAGAAATAAGGACCTTACTGAAACAGAAATCCGAGCACTTCTTAATGTTAGATCAATTAAATTATATGATTCAGCTACAGGTATCAATATCGGTCCTAATAATGTTGATTCATTCTTCCATGCTACAACTACAGAATCTACTAAAGAAGCAACTGATAAAGAAGTAACTCCAGTAGAAGTAACTCCTGTTAAAGAAGCAGAAGAAGTTGTAACTGAAACTGAAGAACCTGTTGAAGAAACTTCAGAAGAAGTAACGGAACCTGAAACAGAATCAGAAGAAGAAACTACTGTTGAAGAAGCTGTAACAGAAGAACCAACAGAAGAAGTAGCAGAAGAAACAGTAACAGAAGAACCATCAGAAGAAGTAGTTTCTGAAGAACAACCTGTAACAGAAGAAACAAAAGTTGAAGTTTCTTCAAATGTATCAAATTATCCAACACACTCAAAGAAGAATAAGAAGAAGAGATAATTGGGGGAGTAAACATGTTTATTTCTGAACAAGTTTTTACTGAAGAAGAAGTTTATTCATTATTTCAGGAAGCTATTTCAGATCCCCATAATAACATGCTCAGAGAAACATTGATTGACCCAGTAATCGAAGTATTATCTACAGCTGAAGGTCGTAGAGAATATATCAGACTGGGTAATCAGTTTCTTGAAGCAAATGCTGAAATGTTGGCTAAAGAATATCCAACTAAAGCAGTCACGTTTCCAAGATTATATGTAGATAATGTAGTAAAACTGTTTGGTTTTACTTTAGCTTCATTAAAGAAGACAGTTGTTGAAGTATTGAAACAGGTTGGTGCTTCAGATTTTAAAACAATAAACTCTACACCGACTAATGTTTTGCACACAATTGTTCTTTTTTATTCAGATATGATATTTGATAGAGACTTGAGAGATTCAGCCCGTCATCAGACGGGACTGACAATATATAGTCTTATGTTTAACAAATATTTTGGTCATGTATATAATGAAGCTGTAATGGCATATACATATATGAATCTGAATGGAACATGGGGATTGGTTAAATCTGAAAATATAATCACATGGGTAGGTTCAATGGTTGATACATCATATGGTTTTTATAAAACTAAATTAACTGTTGATATGTCTCCAAAAGTATTAGTTGATTATTTAAATAGATTACGATCATCATTTAACCAAGCTATGAAATCATTATGTGATAGATTTCGTAAAGATATGGCTGAAGGTAATATGGTGGGACAAGATACAGATGGAAATAATGATTATCTGGAAATCAATAACTTTACAACGATACGTGATAATTTAGTACGATTAATTCGTAATGGTGATCCTCGTTATTGTAAGAATGGAGATTTCTATTCTGCAATGGCAAGATACAAAAATGTCAAGTGTCAAGATTTATATGATTTAGCTCAAGCATTTGATTATAAAGATATTGGTACTATAATAGATATCATTTTATATGTTTTCATTGTTAAAGAAGGAAACACATTAAATGATATAAACTCAACCAAGTATATCAATAGAATATCAAATTTTCCAACAGCAGTTGATAGAGCTATTCAAGGTAAACCGATTATAGACCCTTACTCTAGTAAATATAAAGTAGACCCATCTATAATGAGGGCATACATATGTTTGATGGCTACATATATAATGTATAACATTAATGATGTAAGACCTGAATCATAATCATATAAATTGTAAAGGAGTTGAATAAAGATGTTAAAGTCTACACAAACAAACAAATATGAGACAGCTTGTTATGTTCAAGAAGCGGCTACTATTAATGAACTTAAACCTGGTGAGCTTAAAGTGTTAAAAACAATTGATGGTTATCCGTATGCAAAGTTCAGAGCAACAGTTCAGACTTATGGATGTTATAACAGAATGCATAGATGTTATGATATGGGAAATGTTGCTTCAGTTGTACGTGGAGATGAAAGAATTCAGCGTCTCAAAAAGAATAAACAGTGGAGAGGTGAATGGAACCATCCAAACCCGGAGATTAAGGGTCAGGAATATTCTGATATCAGAATGACAATTCCAGAACCATCTCGTACATCTCATTTCTTAAATGATGATGTATTCGCTGATAATAAAATGACATGTGAAATTACAACACATCCAAAGACTGAATGTGGTAAAGCATATTCATCTGAAATTATTGATCTTGGTGCATTACCATCATTCTCAGTAAGAATACTTGGTGTTGCAATTCCGAATGCTCCGGTTGGTCAACCAAATATCAGAGTATCTAAATTCATTACAGCTGATGCTGTTGACTTCCCATCACATCATGATGCTGAAGCAGATATTAAGCGTATCAATGAATACTGTACAAATATCACATTCCTCAAAGAGTTAGCAAAGTATTGCACTGAACAGGATGAAACAATGAAAGTTGTTTGTGAATCATTCATGATTTCTCCAGAAGAAATTATGGGTATTAATAATGAATCTATTATTATAGAACAAGCAGACCATTCAAGAATGAGTATTCCATTAAAGGGAGATATTCGTCGTGAAGCTTTATCTATTATTACAGGATTCTCAAAGTAATTAGAAAGGAATGATAACATGGCTCAACAAATAATCATTAAAAGAGCTTACTTTGATAATATCAAATTAACGATTGATGCTATTAATGAATTCTTTTCTTCACAATTTAAAACAAAGAATTTTCCATCAATTGAATCAGATACTGATGTTGACGTTGTAATTGGAAATATTGTTGAATTACTGAATCATGTTGAACCTTCATGGGTTGATAATCCAGATAAAGTTGATGCAGCTGTTGAATCAATTAATGAATCACTGGAAGAAAATGAAGTTCAGTCTATTGAAGATTCACCAATATATGATAGAATATATGCATATATCGGATATAAAGTTCTTCAGTTTATTTCAGATAACTTTGATGGTTTTTCTACATTATTAAATGGCATATATACATTTGATATGTTTATGGATCCATCAAAGTATCAAAATGTAATTGAAAAGTTTTCTTTACCAATTAATTTATCTGAGATTACTCATCCATTACCGAATAATGATGATATACATTTATTCAGTATTGAAGCATATGTAAATGGAATCTTCTCGAATAAAGAATACATCAATACAGGTTCTTTAGTTAAAGAAGATGAAATTACACGTATGCATGATTATCGTAGACTCGATAAAGCGGAGATTGTTGTTGACGATAGATCTGATGAAGAATCTGTTGAAGAATCATATCATATGGAACAATCAACAATTAATTTCTTCTTAGAAGATAAACCTAAACACATTAAGTATGATTCTGCTAAGGATAAGTTTATAATCTCTCAACAGCTTAAGAACTGCATCAATTCAGTTGTATCTGCAATTGAAAAGTGTGATTCTACAGATGAACTTAAGAGATTATTCTTAAATGAAGAAGAATTTAAGAATGATACTAAGGTTGTTATGTTAGCTAATAAGTACTCTGCGTTGATACCACTGCTTGTATTCAATAATCCAAGAAAGTTCTGTGTTGATGGAAAAGAAATTGAAAACCTCCAGAACTTTATTAAGTCATATGATAGTATCAAAGAAAAGAATAAAGGTGCTCAAAGATATTTCAATTATGATATCTTTTCAACTTTTAAGGTTGATAAAGAAGGAACTATCCGTTTCTTAAGAGATTTCATGACATGTGAATTATATAATAATCAAGAATCTGCAATTACTAATAATACATTAATGACTATCTTTAATATTTTCGATTCTCGTATCTATTATGATAGATTATACAATCTTATTCCAGATGGTACAAAGAAAAGTAAATATCCTTCGGAAGATGCATTTGTTAAGAAAGCAAGAGCTCGCTTAAATAAGACATCACATTCAGCAAATGTTTATAATGAGAAACCAGATACTACAGAAACAATTAAAGACGATAAGCAAGTTCAGGAATTTGTTTATAAAACAATGAGACAGCTTGGTGATTGTTCATTAACCGATATGAGTAATGTTGAAATGTATTCTGAAATGGTTAATGCGGAAATTTCCAACATTGGAAATATGATGTATAATAATGGAATTTCATTAGTTGCAATGAATCATATTATTCAAGAAATGGAAATGGGTGATATCCCAGATTATATGAAAGAAAGACTTGATATATCAGATAAGAAAGCGGATGATATAACAGTATCTCCTGCAGATGATGTTGGTCTTCCTCCACTTGATAATCAGGATCCAGACCCAAATGCAGATGCTGATGCACCAGTTCCTGAAAACTCATTTGATGATCTTGCTACATCCATTGATAACAAGATTAATTCATTTGATGGTCAAGGTAGAAATGTAGATGGTATGCTTGGTTCAGGATATGAAGCAAGAAAAGAACCATCTGACGGTAAGGTAGTTTATAATGTTACAAACAATTATAATTATCAGAATTCATTCAATAAGAACTCAGGAAATACAATGAATGATTCTTCACAAGGTAAAACAGTTAATATCTCAAATAAAGATTCTAATAATGATTCTTCAGTTACAACAGTTCACGGTGGACAACCTACAGCTCCAAAGGTACCTGAAATTGAGAAACCTGCAGAACCAGAAATACCAAATATACCAGAACCAGAACAACCTAAGAATGATAATATTGAAAATGTTGAAACACCACAAAATGATGATAATAATACTCTGACTAACAATAGTAATAATAACAACGAACATGTTGATGATACTATAGCTTCTACTGATGTTTCTGATACAGAAGATATCGGTGATAATGGTGAAATTCCATTTGGATTTGATCTCGATTCTTCTGAAGATAAAACTGAAGAAGAATATCCATCTGAAGATTCATCTAATAACGATAAATTCTCAAATGGAATGTCAGTTAATGAGTTCTTCTCATTCTTAGAAGCTGCAGAGCCCCTATCAGATAATATGGACGGTGTTACTAATCAACAAGCAGAAATGCCTGAAGAAGACCCTGCTACCAAGGTACTTGATAAAGACAGGGAACGTCAAAACAAAGTTAACAAAGCCAAGAATAAAGTACATGCAAAACTTCAACCTGCTATCCGTGCTAAACGCTGGTTAAGCAGAACAATTGATTCTCTTATTAAGAGAGATGAGAACCAAGTTAAGCGTGAAATACTTGAAAACCATGACTATCGACATAGTCTTCATAAGGCTGCAAGATTTGCCATTAAGTCAGGTGCAATCGCAATTGCATTTACTATTAATGGATATATTGGATCTGCAGTTTTAGTTAGTACAATTGCAAAGGAAGTTGACAAGAAAGAACGTCTTGCAAAAGAAGTTCAAGAAGAATTTGCAGCTGAGATAGAAATTATCAAAGATAAGATTGAACTGGCTGAAAGAAACCATGATAATAAAACTAAGTGGAAGCTTATGAGACTTAAATCGAAGATGGAAAATATGATGGCTAAGAACGGTACTTATACCGGAAGAATTAAGACGTCTAAACAGGTCGCTTTCTAATCATTCTAGATATCCAATCAAGGAGGTGTGCTGATGACATGGATAGAGAAACCAATTTCTTTCTCTATATAATGGAAGCAGAAACAGAACTCGCATCATTTGATGGTGGGGATGATATGAGCACTTCAGCAGATCCACCACCGGATGATTCAGCACCACCTTCAGATGATGGTGCAGATAATCCACCTGATTTAGCAACTGATGATGCCGGAGATGGTATGTCATCATTTGATGGATCGGATACTGGAGATATGGGTGATGAAGGTGGTAATAATACCGCGGATGAAGATGGTAATAAAGAAGATGAATCAATGTCTGATAAAGCTAATAACATGCTTAATCAGAAACTGTATGAACAGTTATGCGCCCGCAATGATGAAATCGATAATATCATCGAATCTCTACAAGCTTTAACACCAGTGTTACCTCATGACGTTATTACCGAAAATGAGAAACACATATCTCGTTTAAAAGCAGCACTCAATAAGAGTAAAGACTACAGTATTTCTAAGTTTGTCGATTCAACATATGGAGAAAATTTATTATTCTTTAATGAAATAAATTTACTCTTCACAATGTTATGTGATGAACTTGACAAAAACTTAAAGAAGAACTTTAAAGAAAATAAGTGATTCTTTACAAATTTCAAAATATATTATCCTTAAAGGAGGAAAATTGCTATGGCATATGGAATTAGCAAGAACCATGGTACATGGTTCCAGGAACAGCAGAGCATGATTAACTCTGCTACAGAAAAGGAACTCGCAGCTCTTCAGGATGGATTTGATACACATTTCCAGGAAGCAGCTACAGCAGTAAAGCAGAAGTTTAATGGTGTAAACGTAATTAAGGATTTCAAGAAGATGATGGATAACCCTGTAATCATGCAGGAATATAAGACAGAACTTCTTAATCCAATCCTTAATGAACTTAGAAACTATCCTACTACAGATGAATGTGAAAGAGTTCACATGGAATCAGTTGCTGATCAGCTTGAGAATGCTTGGGATGAAGGCGTTAAGTCATTCATGATTCAAGAATCTTACAACGTTGCTAACTATCTCCCACTTTCAACACTTGATTTCCCTGCTCTCATCAAGCAGTACATCAGATTCCTTGGTAAGGATCTTATCCCTGTTCAGACAGCTAACTCAACAAATATTGAACAGCGTATCTTTACAAAGTATCTCGTAAACAACCAGACAGGTGAAGAATACGAGACACCAGCTATCTACTTCAAGAAGGATGAAGATGGCAACCCACTTTGGAAGAAGCTCTTCAATGCAGGTAAGGGTATCAGAATCAATGATAAGCAGCCTCTTACACTTGCTACAATTCAGGCAGCTAAGAACAAGAAGTTCAGCATGTTCAAGTGGCTCCTCGATGATGAAGGACAGCCATATGATATGGAAACAGCTGGTGCTAAGACACTCAGAACACGTCTTTCATATGACTTCAACATCAACTTCGTAGAAGTTACAATCGCTAATACAGGTGAAGATGCTAAGGATTATTATGTTGCTCTTGCAGAAGAACCATCAGACTGGGAGTCAGATAAGACATCATACTTCAAGACATCAGGCACAAACCTCTACGTTCCAGTAGAAGAAGATGATGCATTCAAGGCTAATGGTACAATCTTCAAGATGATCTCTTCAGGTACAGAAGCTACTCTCAAGGTTAAGCTCCCTGGTGGTGGTATCGGTATCGACGTTCAGAACGGTGGTGTATTCCTTAACGGTGGTATCACAGAAGACAGAGAACTCCCTGTAGTTAACAACGTTACAAACAAGCCAACAGGCCAGACAGTTAAGTTCTCAGACAGAGTATCTGGTGTTGTTGATTTCATTAAGGGCACAGTTACAGCCTACATCATGTGGTGTTGTAACAGGTCTCTACATCAATGGTTACATCTCAAATGAAACAAACCTCAGAACAATCGGTTTCAGAGAATATCCAGAAATCAGAAAGTTCCTCATCTCTGATGGTTGCAGATTCCAGCTTCCATTCACAGTTGAAGACTTTGCTGAAGCTAATGCTTCACTCAACTTCAACCTCTACAGCAGACTCGTACAGGAACTCGTATCAGCTCAGGAAATGTTCGAAGATGAATCAATCCTCGAATACCTTGATGAAGATTTCGATAAGAATGACGGTGCTGAAAACGATGTATTCGCTCTTGAATCATATGTTCATACAGAATATGTTGATCTTTCACCAACTGCACTCTCACCAAACTTTGCTGGAGATCCATGGGAATACAGAACAAATGCTATCCACAATGCAATTGAATCTGTAATCTATGAACTCTGTGACAAGGGTAAGTATGACAACCTCGGATTCGTTATCTACTGCAATCCAAAGGCTGCAAGACTCCTCAACAAGTTCACAACATGGACTGTTCAGAAGTCAACAGAAATCGGTGGTGTTCAGATGAACCACGCTTTCGGTGTTCTCACAGATACAAGCACACCAATCAGAGTTGTTGCTTCTAACCGTGTTGACGCTTATATCACAATTCCTGCATATCAGGAAGGACATACAGAAGGTCAGGTTTCTAAAGAGTATTTCTACAAAATTGTGGCTTACCCAATGGATAAGTTCCACATCACATATAAGCACCTCAGATTTGCTCGTCACCTTACAAACTCACCTGAAAACGCAGCATATGCTGACGCTCAGAATCCTGGTGGAGCAGCTATGGTTGTTACGACATCATCACAGTACTCTGCGTTGATACCACTGCT